CGCTCAGTGCGCGATGGCACCACCAGGATGGACGACTACAAGGGCAACAGGGCGGCGGACTCGTTCGCCAAGAAGGGCGCCGTCTTGCACCCCACGAGCGAGGCAGCGGTGGCCAGGGCGGCGCTCGCCGACGACATTGCCGTCTCGGTTGCGCGCTGGATCGGCGAGGCGGCGCCGATCGGCAGCAGCCTTCTGACGGCAGCCGACGGCAACGGCACAGCCGAGCCCGAACCTACGATCTGCTTGGGCGGGTACGGCAAGCACGGCGCCGCGCGCTGCCAGGGCGGCGGTCTCCAGTGCCGGCAGTGGCCATGCAGGGCGCACGGCACAGCGTTCGCAGAGGCTGGCGCCAGGCAGTGGATGTGCGACGTATGCACCAGCAGACGCAGCGGGACACCCATCCCAGGCGGGCCTGGCGCTGCGGCAGCCAGCGCACGCAGGGCCAAGCGGCGGCGGCTCTGCGCGGCGCCGAGCTGCGAGCGAGCCCACCCAGGAGGGAAGTCAGGGAAGCATCGGCAGCACCGATCCGGCGCATGCCCCTAGCGGAGCCGCACGTGACAACGGCGGCCCACCCCTCCTGAAGAGGGGCACGCGGCGACGACGCAGCAGCGGCCAGCCGAGGACACGGGGGTGCCCCACGCCGAGACGCGGCGCAGGCCCGCGCCGCGTCACGAGGCGCAGCAAGGGCTACGGGTCCACCGCCCGAGCCCGCGGGGCGGAGGACCGCGACGGTGGCGTTGGCAAGGATGCGAGGCGTGGGCCTCGGGCCGGTCGGAGGGGTGGCCGCGCACCGCAGCTGCATAGCAGGCTGCGCAGCCTGCACGTTGGCGGCGCTCCTGCTGGACGAGATGACGGGCCTCGTCATCGGGCTGGCGGCCGACCAAGCGGAGGATGGCCGAGGGGATCTGCGCGCGGGCACAACAGCGTGGGCGGAGCGACCACACCCAGCGCCGGCGAGAGGGTGCGGAGCCTCGCGGGCCGAGAGCTGGACGATGAGGTGGAGCGAGTGCTGTCGGATGCGCTGGCGGCGCCGTCCTTCCTCCGCGGGGCGAGAGCCAGTCCGACCAGGGCACGGCTGTGGCCCAGCTCTGAGTTCGAGGCCAGCGGCCCACCCCCACAGCGCAGGCGGCTCGAAGCCGAGACGGTGGACGAGAACGACGGCGTGGAGGACGGCAACACCAGCGCGCGCCGACCAGCTCACGGGCGCCGACGACGACGGCATCGAGCCGAACTCGTTCTGCAGGGGCAGCTTTGGCGCCGGCGCCGGCACAGGAGCCGCGGGCGCAGCCAGAGCAGCAGCCGCCGCGGCGGCGATGGTCGCAGCGGCACCGACGGCGCAGGCAGCAGCGGAGGCGGCAGCCGCAGGCGGCAGCCGGAGAAGGGAGGACGCCGCCGCGCCTGCCGCAGACGCAGCGGCCTGCAGCGGACCCCGCTGCTGGCACTCCGTCTCGCGCGCGCACCAAAGGCAATGCGCGCCTCCGCGTCCCGGTCTCGCCCCGACGCGCGAGCGCATTGGGCCCACGAGGGCCCGCAAGGGCGCGCCGTGGGCCGTGGGGGCCTGGGGCCCCCGTCTTGGCCGTGCATGGAGTAAGAACCAGCACGGAAGGTGAGCCCTGGTCCCGACCCCCGTGAGCTTGAACCCGATCGTCATCCGGCTCCTCATCCTCCTCATCAGCCATGTCCCGCTGCCCCTCCTTATATAGATGTTGTCCTTCTCCAGCGTTTACGACTCGGCCTCCTCATCCTCGCTCTCGGCCTCATCTGTCTCATCATCAGTCTCCCCCTTACCCCGCTTCTCTTGCAGCAAGGAGGGAGCAGCTAGGTGGGGCACTACCTATGGCAATGCGAGCCTGCCGCACACCAAACTTACACACAAACACACACACACACACACACAACACACACACACGCACAACACACACACACACACACACGCACAAAGACTGGGCAGATCTCCACAGGGGGGATAAGAAATGCGGTCGATTATGAACCAACGGAGCCGATTCGTCTACGGGTAGCACTTAGCTGCGAGGAGCACGTGGCTTTTGTACAAGTCGTACTCATCATCCATGATGTGCAGCCGCCAGTTGATGAGGCGGAGAAAGCGCCCCTCGAGGAAGTTCAGCTCCTGCAGGTCGATGCCGCCTATAGTCGCGTAGTGTTCGTTTTTGTAGTGGGCGTCGTCGAAGAATTTGGCGGCCAGGACCATACTGACGAGCAGCATACGGTGCACGCTGCGGGCGCTAACCAAGTGGGAGCTGTGCAGCTTCACAGCCCGGTCTATGTACACGAGGCTGGCGATCAGGCACGCGCTGCTACAGTCGAAGTGGTCCGACACCCGCCGAAGGTAGGCCCAGATAGGGATCGAGGGAACCCTTCTGGCGTCGAAGCCCGAATCCACCCGAGGCCTGCTCACCCCCGCAACGCATGGAAGAAGAGACCAACTGCATAAACGTAAACTTCCGGAGCTCCGCGCGGGTTCCTTGGATCGGCACTGGACCCCCACTCCCTGGCGAGCGGAGCGCGCCAGGGGCGGCGCCAGAGGAGCCGCCAGGGAAGCCCAGGCGCCGACGCCAGAACTCCGCACGGAGATCCGAAAGTTTCTGTTGAAGTGCCGTCGCTTCTTCCCCGGATGCACAAGCGGTTCAGCACGAGGGCCAGCGCGCCCACCAGTGCGTCGCGGTCGACCGCCTCGTCCACCGCGGGGTCGCGCCCGGCCCCGCCGCCGGCTGCGGGCACCTCCGTGACATCGGCCGGCGGCCGTGCGCTGCCGCAGAGCTCGCTCCTCGCGCTGGGGGGCCCCGGGCCCGTCGACGGCACGCACCTGGCCGCGGCACCGCGCGGCGCGACCCTGCCGACGGCTGCGGGCGCCTCCTTGGCATCGGCTGGCGGCTGCACCCCGCCGCCGGCCGCCCTCCTCGCGGCGGGGGCCCTGGGGCCCGTCGACGGGCCGCACATGGCCGCGGCGCCGTGCGGCGCGGCCGCCGCCAGGGGAGCTGCGCGGGCGGCCCCGCGGCGACCTGCTGAGCCAAAGTGGCTCACGGAGGCAGCCCGGCGCTCTCTTCCCCGCGGCGCCTCTGCGGCTGCAGCCGGCGGGCCTGTGATCGCCCCCAGCCGGCAGCGATCCAGACATGGGCGCCGGCGCGCGGGCGAAGGAGCAGGGCGGGCTGGGGAAGGGAGGCAGTGAGGGCAGGGGCAACTCTGTGGGGGAGGGGCTGCGGGGAGCTGCGGGGAGAGAGCCTCGATTGCCCAGACACGTCCAGTGACTACCTACCAGACCACCCCAACCCAACCCGAAGACGCGAATTTGACCCGAATTTCGGGTTGGGGGGGGGTAGGGGTTCCATGTGTTTGTTCAACGTTCCCCGACCCCCCCCACACTGGAAATGGAGGGCAAAGTGAGGCCTTCGGGTTGGGTTGGGGTGGTTGGGTAGGTGGTGATCCAGCATGCGTGCCAGCACAGGCTGCCGCAACCCGGAGCACGGCCAGTGCCAGCGCCAGACGGGCCAGCGCCCGCGTGCGGGAGCCCGCGCGTCCGCAGCTGCGCGAGCGCGCTTGTACGCTCGCCCCTGGCACGCGCACCTGGCGCCCGCGCCTGCGCGCCCGTGCCCGCGCGCCTGTGCTGCACGCGAGCTGCTTTGCGATCCGGATCTTTCGCTAAGGGATCGCACGACGCCTCCAGGTTTGGCCACGGATGCTGAACGTCAGATGTTTACACTGGGCTCTTGAACATTGGGTTCTCAACCGTCTCCGTCTTAGTCAGGCGGTTGTAACTGCAACGCTGTTGTCGATTCACGTCCGAGAACCAGCTTCACCCAATAAGGTTGCTTACATGCTAGCATGTTCCTACGAACTTGACTGCGACCAGTGCTCTAAGCAACTGGATATGCCTGGGGCATCGCTGGCTCTTTGGAGCCTCTTCGGCGGAGGCCTCGTCTGAGCGGCCCACCCACTCGCCTGCACGCGCCCCAGGCAACAAACGAAATGACTTGTTTGCTCAGACTCGGCCCCATGGATCCATTCACCTTCCACTCTTCCGATTTCCTCACCCCACTGCAATTTGTCAAATCCTCCCTCCTTTCCATCGCCGACATCCGACGTCGTTAACAAAAAACAACGCGCCCGTGAGGAAAAGGGCAACGGAACCCGTACCCGCACCCGTGGTGACACGTAGACGTTACAAATCCCCCTCCGCAAGCCCGTGACAAAACCCGTGGTGACACGTAGACGTTACAAGTCCGTCCTTCTTCAGACTTATGTCAATATCTCTGGGCGTATCTAGACGCATCTGGATCGCATAGGGACAGAACGTGGCCACAAAGATGGCAAAGTGGGGCATCAGCGACGCCGTTTTGAAGCTATGGTTACAGTACCTACCCCCTTCCCCTACCCACACTCTCTCCTTACCCTCCTCCTCCTCCTCCTCCTCCTCCTCCTCCGCCGCCTCCTCATCCTTCTCCTGCTTGCCCTGCTTATTCCCCTTCTTATTCTTCTGCTCCTCCTCGTCCTCCTCCTCCTCCCCCTCCTCCTCCTCTTCATACAGCCCCTCCCGATAGACTCCTCTTCATCCACATCTTCCCCTTCTCCCTCCTAATCATTCCCCCTGCTTACCCCTACAAGTGAATAAGTACACCCAGAATCGTGGGACTGGCGACCATGACGGGAAGAGCCACTTCTGGGACCCTGGCCCGCGAGATTGGCAGTTGCCTGCCCACAGCTGTGCACGAGGGCAAGAGGTCATTCGGGGGCGTCCAAGAGGGGGGCGTCCAAGAGAGGGGCTCGCAACTCATGGCCGGAGGCATGTGCGCGGACGAGGGGGGGACGCGCTGAAATGAGAAGAGGGAGACACGACATCCGGGGAGGTATCATGGCCCTGTCCGTCCACACACGCAGACACACACGCGCGCGCAATGTTTTATGACCGTGGGCGCAAGGGTGTGCGAGACGGTCAGGCGCTGGCCAAAGCGAGCGGTGGGCTGCACCGGAAGCTACTAGAGGCACGACGCGGGAGAGAAGGAGACGAGAGAAAAAGACGCAGACGGAGCCCGATCATACCATGCAGGTCGGCGCGGGCGTGCCAGAGGGGGACACTCACACACTCACACACACACACACACACACACGCGTCGGCGGCAGAGTGACTGCGCTGGCGGATGAACATGAGTACAGCGTGCGAATGCGAATGAGGCCGCGATGCACGGGAGAGAGAGAGAGAGAGAGAGAGAGGATACGCCCAGCGAAGGCAGGAGGAATGCAACACACACACACACACACACACACACACACACGCACGCACGCACGCACGCACGCACGCACGCACGCACGCACGCACGCACGCACGCACGCACACCCACACGCACTCACATACACAGCCCTTATGGACGCCAGGCTGGGCGCCTCGAAATCGCGTCGCATCCTCTTGTCGCGCCCCGCGCGCCCGGGCGCCAGGCGGAGGGGCGAGCCCCAAGGCCTCCGTCCTGGGCGCCGTGGCACCACGTCACCGGCGGGCGCTCCTGTTCGGATCTCTGGGCTTTTCCCGAGGCCATCGGGAGGCGCCCTCCGTGGGGCAACGGGAAGATTGAATTCCAAACAAGTGCAGCAATACGCTTTCGCGGCCAGCTCCCGAGGCGCCCAACACGTAGATGATCTTGCACGCGCAGGTGCTGAGGGAAACCGCCCAAAACACATACAGCGAACATTACTGCGGCTGTTTGGGAGCCCCGTTGGGGCACCTGAGATTACATGGATCAGTATTCCTACGACAAAAGGGCAGATGCCGCATCCATTCATCCTGCCTCACAAGCTCTTTCGATCGTTGTATCGTGGCAGGCGTGGCATTTTTGGAAACTGCGTGGCTGGCCCACGCGGGTCTGCTCTGGAGTATTGGACGGCTGTGCAAGGCACAGGACTTGTCAGAGAACACCCAGGCCTCCAAGAAGAGAACTGGGCGCGAACCATTCCCGTGGGATTCCGCGGGGATGCAGTATCTTGCACCAAACAGGAATCAATTCTGGTGCTGTCCTGGAACAGCTTATTAGGCATGGGAAATACTCGGCGCCAGCGCTTTATATTTACTATCATTTCCAAGCACCTTTACACGAATCGAACTCTTGATGTGATTTGGAAAATCCTCGGTTGGTCAATACATTCATTGTTACCTGGTTTGATGCCATCGAGAGATTGGGACGACAATCAGATATACGAAGAGATCGGGCAGGAGTCAATCGCTGCAACTTTGTGCGCATGCTTTGTCCAAATCGGCGGCGACTGGCAATTCTATAATGAAGTGTTCGGCATCCCTCAGTGGCGGGCCGCTGAGCGCATGTGCTGGCTGTGTGCAGCATCAAGCACAATTCCACATATATATATATATATATATATATATATATACTGGACTGACTTCTCCCGCGCCGCTGGCTGGACAGACACGCGGACGTCGCATGCTGACTTCATCGACTATCTAACCAGAAGTGGACAAGTAATCCCGTTGCTCTTCCAGGGGGGGGGTAGTCGGCTTGAAAGTCGACTGCGTCATGATCGATACCCTCCACGCCATGGGCTTAGGTCTGCACATGCATATGGCTGGAAATGTGTTCTGGGAGTGCGTCACGAAACGTGTATTCGGAGGCAGGAGCATTGATAAGAACCCAAACCTTCTCGAGCAAAGTCTGCAAGCGTTCTACAAGAGAGAGAGAGAGAGAACGACATCCAGTCTACAAGGGACGCTGGCAGCTTCCAGGATCAGGGCAGACGGGTGCTACCCCAAGCTGAAAGCCAAGGGAGCTGGCGCAAGGCATCTCATCCCTTATCTGGTCGAGCTGTGCCGCCGCTTCAATACAGGCAGAATCCATGATCGAATGCAGTTGTCACTGTGTGAGCGAGCCGATCGGTGTGATAACACTCCTGCAACTAATCATATGTTCTTTTTTGTCTGATGATGTCAAAGCTGACTTGGTAGAAGTTGGACACGACATGGCAATTCTTTATCATTGGCTTCACGACGATGCAATCAACGAGGGCGTCAGGATGTGGAAACGAACTCCAAGGTTCATAGTGGGCAACACTAGCGCGAGTGGCAGCAGGCAGAGTGGGGCAATACATCGTACTATTGGTGCTACGGGGACGAGGACTTAGTGGGGCTTTGCACAGGGGCAACAGGATCTCTTCACCCCAAACCGATGTCAGGAGCTCTTCTTGTGAAGTGGCTTGTTTTGTGCTTCGGGCACGAGGGCGTTGAGGAGCCGACGAAGGGCACCTGACTGAAACACAGTGTCTCTTTTTGTTTCTCTCTCTCTTTCTCTCTCTCTCTCTCTCTCTCTCACGCATGCACGCACGCACGCACACACGCACGCACGCACACACACACACACATACACACACACACACACACACGCACACGCACACGCACACGCACACGCACACGAACACGCACACGCACACGCACACGCACACGCACACGCGCGCAAACGCACACGCACACGCACACGCACACGCACACGCACACGCACACGCACACGCACACGCGCACGCACGCGCACGCGCACGCGCACACGCACGCGCACACGCACACGCACACGCACACGCACACGCACACACACACACTATGAAGTGAAGCTGCATGGAAATGCTGGTCTTGCAGCCCGAGACCCAGGAACGTACAACTCTTGGAAGGACGTCGGCCTGGCGTAAGCCACAGAGAATTCACAATAACAATTCGTGTTTTTTTTTTGTTTTTCAAACGCTGCAACTCCGAGGACCCATCCGATGTGCAGCCTGATCTTGATTAGGCTTTGAGCGCTAGCCTAAACCCTCGGAGCCCGTCTCGTGCCAAATGTGCAATGGCGAAGGAAGCAAGAATTCTTCCAGAGTCGGGCAGAGTTCCTGCAGAACAGAGCAAAGAGAGATAGCCTAATAAGGCCAAGGGGTGCAATATGGAAAACACACACAACCTCCACAAGATGGGTGGGTAAAAGGACTATCAGACGCCTTCATCCGCCTCGTCCCCCATCCCCGAAGGTGTGGCGCGGTGGCTGGCACGATTCACAAGTAACGAACTACCCCGCCGAGGCCTGGGAGTCTACGCAGCAGTAGGACTCCAAACGGCCACAGTACTGGAATTCTTGCAGCAAAAGTCGCTAGAAAAGCAGCCCCCCTGAAGGGCTATCCGAAAAATCCCCGTAACCTCCGAGAGAGGGAGGGTCGCAACAGGTCGGGTCAACGTCTTCTACGCTGAGTCCAAAATCCTCGGAGCCGGGAGCCTCAGAAGTGGGGAAGTCGAAGATGTCACGAAAGCCCTGGAACCAACGTGCACGTAGCACATTCATCCAGATACGACTGCCAAGCCAGCAAGGTACCTGATCCACAACTCGAGTAAGTGCAAGCCCGAGATGATCCACTGCCTCCAAGAAACGAGCACGAATCCCGTCAAGAAGCAAACCTGACTGCCATATCGCGATGATAAGTATCCCATGGAGCAGAATCACACACCCATACCACATTGCAATCATGATTGAATGTAGGTAGCTCACCACGCTCCCAAAGGACAAATCGATATCCGTCTTCGCATGGTCTGTGGGCTGCTCACACTGCTTCTTCATATGAGTACGATGCTTGTTGGGGCACACAGAACGCCCGTCATCGGAAGAACGTATTCAGGCGGCAGGCGGGGCCGGCTGCAAGGCAACATCTGAAATCTCGCCGTCCGCCGTCAGAAAACGAAAGACGTAGGTCCCGATGCCGCCCTTGTCCAGGTCCTGGACGGCCTCGGCCTCGGAGCCGAGAGAAACCAACTTCTTCTTCCACTGGTCCAAACCCTTAAGCTTGGCGACCGACTCCCGCCAAGTCACGTACGGCATACCATCTCTCGGGTAACCCTCCTTCATACTCTTGTACTGCGCGTTGTTCTGGACACCAAGATCCGTCGCCACTCCCGCGTGGGCCGCGAGGGGCACCTGCTGCTGGAAGAACGGGTCGGCGGTATCACCTGCCACGGGAAGGCCTGACCACCGCCGCGATCACCACCAGGGGCCACAGGGACCTGAAAACGGTCAAACTTGTCCATGGGCCGCGCCATGATGTGCTGGGTCTCCTTGCACACAGCCTGGTTCTCGGTGCTGACCGACTTGATCTCGGAGATGTCCTTGGACTGGGCGCCCACGCGACTGGTCAGTGCATCAAGATCCGCACGCAAGCGCTTGACCTCGGGGTCGGCGCTGCCCGGGGCACCAGTTGCGCTCGAGTCTGGAAGCGCGAACTCCGCCAGGCGCTTCGCCGTGCCCACAAGCCGGGCGTCGGTTGGCGCCGCCGCTGCCGCAGGACGAACGACGGCCGTCAGCGCCTGGACCAACCCCTTGGCGGGGCCTTGATCGGCAGCTTCACGCGCCTGCTTGGCCTGCGCCATCTGGGTCGCCAGGGAGGCCAACTCGCTCTGGATGTCCTCCATGACGTTATTGAAGTTGGCCATCATGCCACCGAAGCCTCCACCGCCACGAGGCTCCTGGCGAGGGCGCTGGGGCTGCTGCCGCGGGAACGCCTCCTTGCCCATCGCACCGTCGAGACCTGGAAGCGGGCCGTTGAGGCGTTGCTGTCGAAGAAGAGAGGCGCACGATTCTGTCTGAGCCGCAATGGCGTCGGCCGAAGGGATAAGGTGCTTAGAAGCAATCACGACAAGTCGAAAACATTGGGTAATCGGATCTCGCAAGGGGCCCGGAGGAGCCATATATTTCCACGCTGCAGGGACATACTTGACAGGATAACCAAGACGAGACAAGGTCAACATATCAACGGTTCGTGGGATAATCATATTGACTGGGTGGAGCCCAACCCTGAGCCACGACTGGAGGCGACCCTTCGCCTCCCCACGCATCTCCTGAATCTGGCGCGGTTCGAGTACCTCAAGGAACGGTATGGTAGTCTGCTTGTCCATGAATACCAGCTCGCCCGTGAAGGCGTACCGCTCGTTCCTGCGCCGCATTTCTATATTAAGTCCATCAAAGCTGGCACGCAGGTAAAGGTCGAGATACTTATAAACAAGACCTGACCTGAAAACCTCAAACTTGTCGTCGGGATCAAATCTGGTGACCCCAGAATAGGTGCTATGTAAAATCTGTGTCAAACATGTGCGGCAAAACCGGCAACTGAACACATGCGCATCATCAACATACCCCGAGGCCATAAAATCCCGAAAACGCTGCCACCACCTATCATCGCGAGAATGTTCGGCACGGGAAAAGACGACATGGAGCAGACATGAGGATACTGGGCCACCAATTGGGACCCCACAAACCTGTTGCAGCGAGACATTGCCCAGGGCGAAGTACTTGAAGCCCAAGAGACCAGCCGGCGAACGCTGGAGGGAGGAAACAGAAATACTGAACGATCAACATATCGACGGTGCATCAAACCTCCTAGAATCACGGACGCATTGCGGGGGTGCTTGACGGAGATGGTCTTCGTCTTGGAAACCCGATTGGCCCGATCGAAAAGATTCTGAACAGAGCTCCAAACCACCGAATCACTCAGCGCCTCATAAGCCTGACCCGCATCAGCCGCAACAAAGCCTGGGTAGGGCATCGTTGCTCGACATCTGGCACAACAAAATCCCCCAGAAGCATTTTGAGTCGGCCCCCGTAAGAGATCATAATTCTGGAAGAGCGCCTCGGGGGCCTAGGAGAGATCCTTCAAAGACCACCCAGGAGTAAGAAGGTCAACCAGACAATTGACTGCCCCGGCAATGCGGCGGTAAAGTCGACGGGGCGGCATCTTCAGAAACGAACAGACGTTTCGGACGCAAGAATGCCAAAGTTTCTTGCACTTTTTTTGATCCGTCAACGTTGAAGCACTTGAGTTTGAAAGTGGCGTACACGTACGGGAGATTCTTGCCAGATACAGTCCCAGGGCACCCCCTCATCGATTTTGGAATGGTCCAATCATAGCATAGTCTATACCAAGACAAAATACTCAATGAAGGGGCCGCCGACAATCTCCAACGCTCAGAAGCTCCAGAGAGAATCCCAAGCCAGCGAACCACCATCGCCCCAACCTCGAACGCCCACATGGTATGGGGATCATTATCCTCAGCCGTAATCCCATTTTCTGGGGGGAGGGCCTCAAACTCCGCACGGAGAGATCTGAGCGCCTCCTCTTGGGACGGGTTAGGCGGCCTCGCAGTAAAAGTCCGAGGAGAATGCCTTGGTCCAGATGACGTCGCCACACTGCTCGGAGATCCGCCCCCAGCCGAGGAAGGTCGGCTGGGAGAGGGATATCCACTGCGCGATGATGCTGCACACGCGGCAGAAGGTCGACTGGACGATAGCGCTGCACACGCGGCTGGAGGTCGCTTGGGCGATAACGCTGCACGCGCGGCTGAAGGACGACGGGGCGATAATGCTGCACACGCGGCTGACGGACCTCTGAACGACAACGCTGCACACGTGATGGTTGGACGTCTGGGCGAAGTACTCTCGCATGGGGGGGAGCCGGACTTCGCGTTCCGCAAGATCTTTCAATGAGCCTGGAGCGCGTACGGAGCCGAGGCAGAGCAAACATATCAGGGAGACGCCCACGTTGCAACCACCTTTGGCACTGCTGGCCCAGAGAAACTTGGGACGACAAAACATCAGAGCCCCTCCAAGGGAGACGACCATTACACGGGAGCCCAACCAGATCACGTCCTTCCTGTATGCGCTGAAAATCTTCCAAAACTAGCTTAGACAGCTGATCAAACGTAAACGATTTCATCTGGGTGGGCACATTCACACATCGACTTTGTATAGATACGACAGGACGGATATTTACATAGATGTTGGCCGAAACTGCCTTGGCGCAAGCCGGGCGAATCAGAGCCATTTTGCCAATAACCTGCGAAACCACCCTCGAGTAAGCTGTGCTTCGCACTCATCATCTACTAGAACACACTCTGGGACTGGTGGACATAAGCCATTGAGCCGCATAAGATCAGCTAGGGCACCCCGAACGACCGACCGATGGGAATAATATGGTAACGCAGCCGCTAGGAACCAGAAACTATAAAGACTATCCAGCCCAAGCTGACGACGTGCCACCGCATGCTGCCATATGATCTCACGGGTTTTCCAAGCAACCCATCGCAGCAACAGAAGACCATTGGAGGGGGAACGAATATCCACGGGTCCACACGGCTCGCCCTACGTTTTCTGACGTCTCATAAACTCATCATATTTCCCAAGATAATGTTTTCGTAGAATCTGGGCCCATTCCATATGCCGGGCTCTAGTAGAATTCTTGTCCAAAATAAACTTTTGTAAAGAATGTAGGCGGGCGTCTAGCCGAACGCGAGAGCGCTCATAACGACCTTCATCCAAACCAAGGTCGAGTCGTCGAGCGCGGCGGCCACGGCGGCGACGAGGACCTTTACCCACTCTACCACTACCTGTCCACGAGGGCTGCGGTGATAAGTTATTAGCCACAGGGCGTGAACTAACAATATACGAAGACTCCAAAGCCGCCACCTCCCGAACCGACGCGAGCGCGATGAACACGACAGGGAGGAATGACACACTATGAGAACCCAGCAAAGCTCCATAACGTGCGTTATCAGGAACCGAACCGCGCTGTGTACGCAGACGATAATAGCACCGTGCATGCTCACGCCAGCGGCTGACCGAACCTGACGTCAGAGACGAACGCCTTTGAAGTAAGCCCTGCCCAATGTAGCATCGCTGAAGACCCAACTGATAGATAAAGGCACGGCCTCGAACATCAGGAGGGGCAAGAATACAACGTGCTTGCAGAGAAAACCAGGCGCGCAACTCAGCACAGCGAAGCAAGGATGCTGGACCCTTACGCCTAAGAGCCCAAACCAAGTCCCCCAGAAGACAAAGTAGCGTTTTTTGGACTTGTTCACGAACCCTCCGTCCACCAGTGAGACGCTCACGAAGACAAAGCATACTCAAAGACACCACAATCGTCGAATGAATCCGATGGGTAACGAAGCCCATGGGAGCGATCGGAACCAAAAACCGGCACGAGACAGGTCCAACTCCAGGGCCTCAAAAGCCACAAACATATGATCAGGAGGAGTACAGACCACCAGTTGACACAGGGTCCCAATCAGAAGCTTGTGGACGGGGCATTCAGGGTCGAGAACTTCAGGAGAAAGATCCAAAACCGTCGAGCGTAGTTGGGATATCCAGGACGTAAGATCACTGAGTTGCTCCAAGACACGGGCGCCCAAAGAAATCGCCGAGGGTTCCAGAAGGGAATGACGTGCACGGAGGAACGGCCGAAACACAACATCCCCACAAGACTGCAGCGACGGCCCAGCGTCGGATATGAAAACACGGAACAGAACCGCACCTCGAGGCCTAGGTGAAGAAGCCGTCGAAATATGGATCTGGTCTCTGGTAGCGCTTGCGGTGCACCGCTGAACCTGGGCAGTGGCTCCACTCCAGCACTAACACACTCTGAAGTGAAGTAATATGGAAATACTGGTACTGCAGCCCAACACCCAGGAACGTACGACTCTTGGAAGGACGTCGGCCTGGCGTAAGCCTCAGAGAATTCACAATAACAGTGCGTGATTGTTGTTACCAGACGCTGCAACTCCGAGGACCCATCCGATGTGCAGCCTAATCTTGATTAGGCTTCGAGCGCTAGCCTAAACCCTCGGAGCCAGTCTCGCGCCAGATGTGCAATGGCGAGGGAAGCAAGAATTCTTCCAGAGTCGGGCAGAACTCTTGCAGAACAGAGCAACGAGAGATAGCCTAATAAGGCCACGGGATGCAAGATGGAAAACACACACACACACACACACGCACACACGCGCGCGCGCTCGCACACACGCGCACACACACACTGCTATACATAATCGTTTCGTGACTTCCCCGCTGCACGCATTCATTGTTTCTTGTTCTGGAAACAAGAATCTCTATACTGATACTAACGCGCCAAGCTTCTATAATATAGGCGCTGGTTTCTATGAAAAAAAACACACATTCAACTAGAGATTGGGACATAATTATAACGATTTCGCTATATTCACTAACCACTGGCAACTCTAAACCAAACAATTGAATATCTTAACTTATGGTGATCAAGGGCGCCTGGGGCTGGGGCGGCCGGGGGCGGCGGCAGCTGGGCTGCAGTGCCCGACGCTGCCCGCGACCCGTCTCGCCCGTCTCCAGCGTTAGCCATGGTAGAGGGTCGAGCATGGGCAAATTCAACTCAACATCGCAGCTGCCAAGGAAAACTCGCACTGACGTCTCTCGGGCGCCGGAGGGGCTAGCTCAACGCGCGCGAGCCCGATCTGAGCGAACCTCAGATCTGCTCACTGAAGAGCACCTCAACCACGCTCCGTGCGACCACCGAGGATCACAAAAAAACAATAGACTCTGCGATGGTAATCTGTTCAGTCACAGACGCGCGAGTAGATCATAACCGCAAGTGGCCCTGAACTTAAGCGCGAAAGATTGGGCGCGCTGTCGAGCGCACGCCGTGCATGAGCGGGCGCTGTTGAGCGCGCGCTGTCGAGCGCACGCCGTGGTCGAGCGCCCGCTGTCGAGCGCCCGCTGTCGAGCGCGCGCCGTGGTTGAGCGCCTGCTGTTGAGGTCGCGCTGCGGTTGAGCGCCCGCTGTTGAGCGCACGCAGTTGAGCGCTCGCCGCGGATAGTCGCGCGCAGGTTTTTTTGGCGCGCGCCGAGGTTGAATGCCCGCTGTTGAGCGTGCACAGTTGAGCGCGCGCCGCAGTTGAACGCGTGCCGCGGTTGAGCGCGCGCTGTGGTTGAGCGCGCGCCGTTGAGCGCGCGCTGTCATGCGCGCGCTGCGATTGGGCGCGCGCCGAGGTCGAGCGCGCGCCGATGAGCAAACGCAGTTGCACGCGCGCCGCGGTTGAGCGCGCGCGCGCGCGCTGTGGTTGAGCGCGCGTGGTGGTTGCGGCTGTGGGAACGACGCCAATGGAGCCTTAGGTGGAGCTCCCTATGGGGCCACGAACCGCGTAAGAATGGGTGACGGAGACGCATGGGAACGTCGCCGCTGGAGCCTTAGGTGGACTTCCCTATGGGGCCCCACGAACCGTGTGAGGGGCGTGCACAAATGGGCGACGGGAACGCATGGGAACGTCGCCACTGGAGCCTTCGGTGGAGCTCCCTATGGGGCCACGAAACGCGTGATTGGTGTGCCGAAGTGGTGGACACGCGGATGGCAGAGGCACGGATGGGAGGAGGAGGAGGAGGAGGAGGAGGAGGAGGAGGAGGAGGAGGAAGAGGAGGAGGAGGAGGAGGACGAGGAGGAGGAGGAGGAGGACGCGGGGCGCTGTCTCTTCAAAACGAGGACCCAACACCACAGGATGGTGGGGTAAAAGCAAAAAACATATCCCTGCTCATCCTCGTGGCTCCCATAGCGTTGTGCTGCAACCTCCTCCTGCATCCTTCATCCTGCATCCTGTCTCCTCCTCCTCCCCCGCCTCCTCCTCCTCCTCCTTCTCCCGCTTGTGTTCGAAGCCCGCCCTCGCCATCGAGGATCGAACATCGAGGAACTCACGATCAAGGATCCATCGGGCGAGGCGTCGCGGAGCCACAGCCGGATCCCCCGCGAGACCCGGGCCATGACGCGAGACCCTGGAGAGGCCCAGGGGCCGCTTCGAGCACGACCCGAGGACCTCCGGGCGACTGCGACCCAGGGGCGCTAGAGGCTCTGTTCGCCGCTGTCGGCGTGCAAGGCCGCCTCCAGGCCCAGGGGGGCGGTCAGGAGGTTTTTTTTTGCTTGTTTTTTTGGAGGGAGAAGATGGGAGCGCACACGACGACTCAACAAGGAAAGTGATGTGGAGCAAAACTCAAGCAGGACTCAACAGGGGGGCGGTCAGGAGCTGGCCTGGGATCGGGGCGCGCCGTCTCACGGGGCGCAAGACGAGGCGAGCGGCGAAGCGCGCAAAGTGCCTGCAGCAGGGCCGACGCCATACAGGCATCTGCAAGATGCCGCGGGGCCTCTGCGGAAGGGCGTTGCGACAGCACGGATTCGCGACTTATGTGCCGCTGCGGAGGCTCTCGCGGCTTATGTTTGCGAATCGGCAAGCGCCCATGCATTACTGCCCGCCACCAGCCGCAAGGAAGGCTTAGCGAACTACGCCAGAAATCGAACCACTGGGCACGCTTGCCCGGCACAAGTCTCTCCGGTGTCACCTTAGCAACGACTGCGATAATGCATTCACCCCAACGTCTCCCCAAGGCGACTCAAACGACGCTCACCACACACGGAGGTGGTCAGACTCTTTCAGGCTGTGTCGAAATATATGCTCCCGGGCTCCTGGCCCACGGCCCCCCCCCCCCCCCCCCCCAGATGGTATGGTCCAAGGATTCCTCGGGCCCCCCCCCAGATGGTATGGTCCAATGGCATCATGGCATCAGCATTGGGGGGGTGGGGGCCCAATGGCATCAGCATTGGGGGGGGGGGGCCCAAACCCTGGACCATATATGGTCCAGGGTTTGACCCCCCCCCCCAATGCTGATGCCATTGGACCCCCCCCCCCGCGCGATGGTCCCCCCCGCCCCCCCCTGTGGGCGTGGCGTGGTGCTGCGCTGCGGTTCCCCCCCCCCCCTGTGGATGTGGTGTGGTGCTGTGGTGGTTCAGAGGTGGGCGTGGCGTGGTGTTGCACTGCGGTGCCCCCCTCCCCCCCCCCTGTGGATGTGGTGTGGTGCTGTGGTGGTTCAGAGGTCGTCGTCGTCGTCGTCGTCGTCGTCGTCGTCGTCGTCGTCTCGTCGTCCTCGTCGTCGTCTCGTCGTCCTCGTCGTCGTCGTCGTCGTCGTCGTCGTCGTCGTCGTCATCGTCGTCGTCGCCGTCGTCATCGTCGTCATCGTCGTCGTCGCCGCCGCCGCCGGCGTCGTCGCCGCCGCAGCCGTCGTTGTCGTCGTCGTGGTCGTCGTCGTCGTCGTCGTCGTCGTCGTCGTCGTCGTCGCCGACGTCGCCGTCGTCGTCGTCGACGTCGTCGTCGTCTCTGGGACCATACCATCTGGGGGGGGGGGGGGGGGGCCCGAGGAATCCTAGGACCATACCATCTGGGGGGGGGGGGGCCGTGGGCCCTCGACCCTGGATCATATATGCCTCCGAGGGATTACAGTGGGTAACTTTTGCTTGGTGTGTCGCGGCGGCGGCCCGGCGACACGCCATGCCTTCCAAGCTGATAATGTGTGTCGCTCCGCTCGTCGTGGCGGGTGGCTGGGACGTTGCCGCTCGGGAATGGGGGAGTGATTGACGTGTCGCGCCGAAGCGTGGTGGGCCAGAATCGGCGGCGCGACACACTGAGCAAACGTTCCCGACCCTAGGCCTCCAACAATGCTCAAATACAGGACATGAGTTGCTGCGAAGCGCTTGGGTTGATGAAAAAGTTCAATTGGTGATCGACTCGCCTGAGCTAAAACACGCAAGTACGAGACGCATGCACAGCGAAGCCCGAGAGACGGCTCACGCCTGAGGCCACTGCCGCCGCGCGTCGCTGAATGTTTAAGTTCAGCGACCTGCTGGGCAGCGTGGCCTGAGATCACCGGACCAATGGTAATTCAAATGACCAGCTTTCGGGGAGAGTTGTTCCCTCGCCCAGCCCCTCCTGAGCGATCTGGATTTCCCCAGCCGCAAAGCTTTGGAAAGCCCGAGACGGGCCAAGACGGCTCCAAGATGTCCACCCCCCCCAGCTTGCCCCACGATGGCGCAGCAGACGTCAACTTGGCCCAGATGGCATCCAGAATGGTGCCAGGAGGCAAGAGAGCCCAGACTTGAATGATAAGTCGGATCGGCGATCGACATGAATCGGGTCGGCGGAAATCGGCAGCCGAGTCGGAAAACGTCGAATCGGCGGAAATCGGCAGGCTAGTAGGCCTTCAATAAGAAATCGGAACCCAAATCGAAATCCCAAGTCGAATCGAATCGTAATCGGAAACCATCGAAATCGGATCGAATCGAATCGGAGGAGCCGCAACGAGCCCTGGGAAGCCCCACGAAAGTCCTACGAAGCCTCTGCGGTGCCTCCCCCCTTCTGGGCTTGCCCAAGAAGCCGCCGAGAGGCCAGAACCATCCAACAACCAGACAGCCACACACACGTGTTGGGTCGGCTGCTTCGCGGAGCACCCGTCGCGCTCAGGCCAGAACTGGTTCGCGGGAGCACGGGAACTGGGCACGGAAGAAAAAGGGCAGCAGCGGGGGGGGGGAGGAGAAGACACACACCTTTTTACGTCGGCGGCTAGGCAGAGGGACTGCGCTGGCGGATAGGGCGCTGGTAGGTCGAACGATCGCGAATCGGGCCACGGTGCGCAAGGGCGGGGGGGGGAAGACGCCCGGCGGTGGCGGGAGGGAGACGGAGGCCGGGCCCGCTCAGGGAGAACACACACGCACACACACGCACACACACACACTTGTGCCTCCAGCGGCCGAGCGAAGGCACCACAGCTGGAGCCAGTTATGGCCTGTATCAACCTGCCGGGTTCCACACACCGAGGGGCGGGTCGCTGGCTGCCCGGAGGATACAGAGACACACACACACACACATTGCAAAACCTTTCTTGACATGAGGGGGACGCACGTGAACTCGAAGAGCTTGGCAAGAACGTGCACCAGCACCAACGTCCACCATAGCGCAGACGCTCCCTCCCCCGTTGTCGTCGTCGTCGTCATCGTCGTCGTCGTCTTCGTCGTCGTCATCATCATCAGCATCATCATCACCACGATCGTGATCATCATCATCATCATCGCCGACATTGTCTACATCATCGTCGTCGTCGTCATCGTCATGATCATCTAGAGACCCCTCGTCATCATCACCATGATTATTCCCCGTTCCCCGTCACCTCAACACGGATCTCCCAAGCATGAAGACACGAGGTGTCACACGTGACTGCCTTCCGCGCCCCCCTCGAGCAGTCGCCACCGAGCAGGCCGGGCTGGCACCGTGGCGGGACCTGCCGCAGGCGCTCGGTGGAGCAAGGGCGGGGGGCACAAGGGTTTTGCGGACCCCCTCGTGCTCCCCGAGCATGGCCGAACACTGCGCGGTGCACACATACACACACACACACCTGAAAAATGAGGTTACCCCAACAGAGCACCCTAATAGCAGCAAAGGTGACGAGGCGGGTCGAGGACTACGAGGTCGAAGATGCAGTCCTGGGTATGCCTAGAGGGGGCTCCCAGGAAACGCACGGAATGTGCAGAAGCCCAGGTAATTCCTAGGGATCCCCAAGAACGCTCACAGGCGGGACAAGGGTGACAGCACGGCCACGTGCACCTTCCGTGCATGTTTGTTACCAGGGCTCGTGCACATACGGACCAAACATGTGCCCGGCATGGACGCGAGAGCACAGCCATGTGCACCTCAATGTTTTCTCCAAGGGGTCGTGGCCATCCAGACCGAAGAGGTAGCCTTGTGGATGCCACGACAATGGACACCCTAACAGTCCTATCATTGAAATTGTGTTAAAAATGTAGGAAAATACCCTAACCATGTTTCAAACAGTTTAACACATGTTGTAGACATCTGGAAATTATTTTGCTGCACGCTTCCTCTCCATTGATCGCCCTCCACAAATGTAGCCAGCACTGAGGCGAGAGCACGAGACCCTGAAGAGAGTTGAGGAACTCGCAGGCGAAACAGCGACTGCACCAGGCGTCCTCGGGCTCCCCGCCCCTCCCCCCCTGTGGGACTCTCTTGCGGTTTATCGATTCAGGGGAACCCAACAGGTACCAATACCGCTACCCCCCCCCGGACCTCTCCCGGGGTGCGTTTTAGAGGCCTCCTGAATGGGGTCCGAGTAGATGGGGTCGAAGGATCGCGCCGCATCGCCACTGCATCGCCGATGTATCGGCGATGCTTCGGCGATGCATCGTCAACGTCGGCGATGAATCGGCGACACCGGCGTGGAGAAAATCGGGCTCCGCATCGAGCCGCATCGTCGATGCATCGGCGATGCGGCGCGATCCTCCGACACCATCTACTCCGACCCCATCTAGGAGGCCTAGAGTTCTGACCAGACTTTCGAGGCGAAACAAGAACGGAAAGAGTAGGAGTCATAACAGGCGGATGACCACACACATCAATGACACGCACAGCAGTTCTGCGACGGGGGAACCTTAAGGGAGTATGCCACGGAACCTGTAGATGTGCGAACCCGTTGCACTCACAGACCGGGCAGATCCCCGCTGAGTTAACAAAAAAATGTTTGCAATTGACCGCAGGCAGCGAAGAGCACCAGTGGAACCGATTCGTCTACGGGTTGCACTTTGCTGCGAGGAGCACGTGGTTTTTATACAAGTCGTACTCATCCTCCATGATGTGCAGCCGCCAGTTGATGAGGCGGAGAAAGCGCTCCTCGAGATCGTTCAGCTCCTGCAAGCCGATGCCACCGATGGTCGCATAGTGCACATTTTTGTAATGAGCGTCGTCGCAGTATTTGGCGGCCAGGACCATGCTGGCGAGCAGCATACGGTGCACGCTGCGGGCGCTGACCAATTGAGAGCTGTGCAGCTTGGCAGCCCGGTCCATGTACACGAGGCTTGCGATCAGGCACGCGCTGCTGCACTCGAAGTGGTCCGACACCCGCTGCAGGTAGGCCCGGATAGGGATCGAGGGGGCCCTCTTGGCGTCGAAGCCTACGCTCGCCCGCGGCCTGCCCACCCCCGCCAGGCACAGGTGGCTCAGCACGCGAGCAAGCGCGCCCACCAGGGCGCTGCGTTCGGCCACCTTGGGGAGACTAGAAGATACCACTGCCCGCTGCTGCCCCGACCTCTCCCGGGGTGCCGTCTGACCAGGATCCCACCAGCCCTTTGGGCGTGAGTGGTTTAGGGAGCTTTCTCTGTTCTCAACCCCCTACCCCTCTTCTTCCCCTTCGGGGAGGGGTTTACCCCTCCCCCTACCCCCTCCCCCTGGGCCTGGAGAGGGCGGGCCGAGTGCAATCAAGGGGGTCTTTTTCGACTCCTGGGAGGGCCAAAAAACGATGACCCTCACGAGGATTCTGGCCCCCAGGGGGGGGGGACCGTTTGGCGCCTCAGACCGTCTTTGAAGCAAAAAACATAGATTTGACTACGGTTTTGGCCCCACTTTGGCCTTCTGAGGGGGCCGCGCTCCTCTTCCTTCATAGCAAAATCATTGATTTTACGACGGTTTTGGGCTCATTTTGTCTTTCTCTGGGGCCAGCGCTCATTTGCGCTTCTGAGGAGGTCGCAAGAGGCCCCAAGATAGTCCCAAGAGGCTCCCAGGAGGCTCCCAAGAGGCCTCCAAGAGGCCCCCAAGAGGCCCCCAAGAGGCCCCAAGAGGTCCCCAAGAGGCTCCCAAGAGGCCCCCAAGAGGCCCCAAGAGGCTCCACGAGGCCCCCAAGAGGCCCCCAAGAGGCCTCCAAGAGGCCCTCACGAGGCCCCAAGAGGCCCCAAGAGGCCCCCAAGAGGCCCCACGAGGAGCCCGAACGACTCACACCAGAACGAGAGACCCCGAACGACTCACACCACGAGGAGCCCGAACGACTCACACCAGGAGGAGGAGCCCGAACGACTCACCCCAGGACGAGGAGCCCCAACGACTCACACCACGAGGAGCCTGAACGACTCACCCACCTGGAGGGGCCCGAGCGACGCACACCAGGACGAGCGGCCCGAACGACTCACACGACAGGAGGCGCCCGCACGACTCACACCAGGACGAGGGCCCCGAACGACTCACACTATTAGGAGCCCGAACGACTCGCATACAAGGAGGGTCCCGAACGACGCACACCCGGACGGGGGGGCCCGAACGACTCACACCACGAGGAGCCCGAACGACTCACACACGATGGGGGGCCCGAGGTACTCACTCAAGGAAGGACGAGGCCCCCAGGAGGCTCCCCAGAGGCCTCCAAGAGGCCCCCAAGAGGGCCCAAGAGACTCCCAAGAGGCCCCCAAGAGGCCCCAAGAGCATCCCATAGGCCCCCAAGAGGCCAAGAGGCCCCAAGACGCCCCAAGAGGCCCCCAAGAGGCCCCAAAGAGACCCCCAAGTCCTTCATAGCAAAAGTATTGGTTTTACGAAGATTTGGGCGTCATTTCGTCCTTTCAGGATTTACCTCTCATGGGCTCTTCTGAGGAGGTCGCACGAGGCTCCAAGATGGCCCCAAGAGGCGCCCCAAGAGGCTCCCAATAGCCTCCAAAGAAGCCCCCAAGAGGCCCCAAAGAGGCGTCAAGATGGCCCCTGGAGGCTCCCAATTGGCCCCCAAGAGGCCCCAAGACGCCACAAGAGGCCCCCAAGAGGCCCCCACGAGGAGCCCGAACGACTCACACCAGGACGAGAGACCCCGAACGACTCACACCACGAGGAGCCCGAACGACTCACACCAGGAGGAGGAGCCCGAACGACTCACCCCAGGACGAGGGGCCCCAACGACTCACACCACGAGGAGCCCGAACGACTCACACACCAGGAGGGGCCCGAGCGACGCACACCAGGACGAGCGGCCCGAACGACTCACACCACGAGGGGCCCGAACTGCTCACATGCAAGGAGGCGCCCCAACGACTCACACCAGGACGAGGGGCCCGAACGACTCCCACCACGAGGAGCCCGAACGACTCACACACAAGGAGGGGCCCGAACGACGCACACCAGGACGACGGGCCCGAATGACTCACACCACGAGGAGCCCAAACGACTCACACACGAGGAGGAGCCCGAACGACGCACCAAGGACGAGGGGCCCGAACGACTCACACCACGAGGACTCCCAACGACTCATACACAACGAGGGGCCCGAGGCACTTACACAAGAAAGGACGAGGCCCCCAATAGGCCCCCAAGAGGCCCGAAGAGGCCCCCAAGAGGCCCCCACGAGGCCTCACGAGGAGGCCGAACGACTCACCCCAGGACGAGGAGCCCCAACGACTCACACCACGAGGAGCCCGAACGACTCACACACAAGGAGGGGCCCGAGCGACGCACACCAGGACGAGCGGCCCGAACGACTCACACCACGAGGGGCCTGAACGACGCACACCAGGACGAGGGGCTCGAACGACTCATAGCACGAGGAGCCCGAACGACTCACACACAATGAGGGGCCCGAGGCACTCACACAAGGAAGAACGAGGCCCCCACGAGGCCCCCAAGAGGCCCCAAGAGGCCCCCAAGAGGCCCCCAAGAGGCTTCCAAGAAGCCCCAAGACGCTTCTCGAGGCCCCCAAGAGGCTCCCAAGAGACCACAAGGAGGCCCCCAAGAGGCCCCGAGAGCCTGCAAGAGACCCAAAAGAGGCCCACGAGGAGGCCGAACGACTGACCCCAGGACCAGGGGCTCCAACGACTCACACCACGAGGAGCCCGAACGACTCACACACCAGGAGGGGCCCGAGCGACGAACACCAGGACGAGCGGCCCGAACGACTCACATACAAGGAAAGGCCCGAGCGACGCACACGCAAGGAGGCGCCCGAACGACTCACACCAGGACGAGGGGCCCGAACGACTCACACCACCAGGAGCCCGAACGACTCACACACCAGGAGGAGCCCGATCGACGCGCACCAGGACGAGGAGCCCGAAGGACTCACACCACGAGGAGCCCGAAGGACTCACACACAATGAGGGGCCCGAGACACTCCTACAAGGAAGGACGAGTCCCCCAACAGGCCCCCAACAGGCCCCAAGAGGCTCCCAAGAGGCCCCCAAGAGGCCCCCAAGAAGCCTCAAGACGGCCCAAGAGGCCCCCAAGAGGCCCCCATGAGACCCCCAAGAGGCCCCCAAGAGGCCCCACGAGGAGACCGAACGACTCACCCCAGGACGAGGGGCCCCAACGACTCACACCACGAGGAGCCCGAACGACTCACACACAAGGAGGGGCCCGAGCGACTCATACCAGGACGAGGTGCCTGAACGACTCACACCACGAAGAGCCCGAACGACTCACACCAGGACGAAGACCCTGAACCACTCACACCAGAGCAAAGGCAATTACTACCGTAGCCGGCATCGCAGGAGCCACCGAAGCCAAGGTAACAGGAACCGGCTAAGGAACCACAGCCCCAGAAGAGCGAGATTCCAGGGACATGACTGAAACGAAACACACGAAGCAGAGGCGGAGGAGGAGGACTGTGAAGAAGACACACATGTTTTGGCATCGAGCGATGTATCACAAGGTACTGCCACAAATCCGCCAACATTGAGTCCAGTCACCAGCACCATCACCTGCCAGGATGGACGAGGCCCCCAGGAGGCTCCCCAGAGGCCTCCAAGAGGCCCCCAAGAGGGCCCAAGAGACTCCCAAGAGGCCCCCAAGAGGCCCCAAGAGCATCCAATAGGCCCCCAAGAGGCCAAGAGGCCCCAAGACGCCCCAAGAGGCCCCCAAGAGGCCCCAAAGAGACCCCCAAGTCCTTCATAGCAAAAGCATTGGTTTTACGAAGATTTTGGCGTCATTTCGTCCTTTCAGGGGTTACCTCTCATGGGCTCTTCTGAAGAGGTCGCACGAGGCTCCAAGATGGCCCCAAGAGGCGCCCCAAGAGGCTCCCAATAGCATCCAAAGAAGGCCCCAATAGGCCCCCAAGAGGCGTCAAGATGGCCCCTGGAGGCTCCCAAGAGGCCCCCAAGAGAACGACTCACACCACGAGGAGCCCGAACGACTCACAGCCCGAACGAGGACCCCCAACGACTCACACCACGAGGAGCCCGAACGACTCACACACCAGGAGGGGCCCGAGCGACGCACACCAGGACGAGCGGCCCGAACGACTCACACCACGAGGGGCCCGAACTGCTCACATGCAAGGAGGCGCCCCAACGACTCACACCAGGACGAGGGGCCCGAACGACTCCCACCACGAGGAGCCCGAACGACTCACACACAAGGAGGGGCCCGAACGACGCACACCAGGACGACGGGCCCGAATGACTCACACCACGAGGAGCCCAAACGACTCACACACGAGGAGGAGCCCGAACGACGCACCAAGGACGAGGGGCCTGAACGACTCACACCACGAGGACTCCCAACGACTCATACACAACGAGGGGCCCGAGACACTTACACAAGAAAGGACGAGGCCCCCGATAGGCCCCCAAGAGGCCCGAAGAGGCCCCCAAGAGGCCCCCACGAGGCCTCACGAGGAGGCCGAACGACTCACCCCAGGACGAGGAGCCCAAACGACTCACACCACGAGGAGCCCGAACGACTCACACACAAGGAGGGGCCCGAGCGACGCACACCAGGACGAGCGGCCCGAACGACTCACACCACGAGGGGCCCGAACGACGCACACCAGGACGAGGGGCTCGAACGACTCATAGCACGAGGAGCCCGAACGACTCACACACAATGAGGGGCCCGAGGCACTCACACAAGGAAGGACGAGGCCCCCACGAGGCCCCCAAGAGGCCCCAAGAGGCCCCCAAGAGGCCCCCAAGAGGCTTCCAAAAAGCCCCAAAACGCTTCTCGAGGCCCCCAAGAGGCTCCCAAGAGACCACAAGGAGGCCCCCAAGAGGCCCCGAGAGCCTGCAAGAGACCCAAAAGAGGCCCACGAGGAGGCCGAACGACTGACCCCAGGACCAGGGGCTCCAACGACTCACACCACGAGGAGCCCGAACGACTCACACACCAGGAGGGGCCCGAGCGACGAACACCAGGACGAGCGGCCCGAACGACTCACACACAAGGAAAGGCCCGAGCGACGCACACGCAAGGAGGCACCCGAACGACTCACACCAGGACGGGGGGCCCGAACGACTCACACCACC